ATATGATTCAATAACAGAAGAGCCATTATTTTCTTTTTTGGTAATGCTTATAGGGTGTGGTAATTAAATGTTTCAAGCATTACTAAAAATCACCTTATGCATGTTTTGACACTGAGTAGTTATGCAGTAATAGTTATTTGTTATTAACTTTAGTAATATTGATAAAGTTTGATAACAATTAGTGTATTTTAAATTATTTTGAGACACTCATCTGCCCTCAAAAATTTTTTCTGCAAGAGAGTTTATTGTATTTCTAATAATTGTAAATCTAGTTCCAGCCAAAGTTTAGTGCTCTAGATGTCCTGATTTCTTATACTTAATTAAAATCAATTAATTACAGTATTATTGAAAAGTAAGTTGAGTCCTGTGTGCATAAATACAATACGCAGTTTTGGCTCTAAAGTTTTTTGTTGTTGTTTTAATGATTATTTAATTATGCTGTTCTCTAGTGGGAAATCTTCTTCAATGTTATTATCATCCAAGAATAAAATTCTTCAAAATGAACAGAAAGTAAAGCGACTAAATTTGATAACAAGAAGTGACTCCACATTCCAGGATGTGATCAAACTGACACGTCCATGATTATTCATTGGTCTTCTCAATTGCCGTGTATTTACTATTTTGGCTAAAGTAATACATAACTGTGTGTGTGTGTGTGTGTGTGTGTGTGCGTGCGTGTGTGTGTGTGTCTGCCAGACCTATAACAAAATCTGACACTGTTATACAAGTTTTTTCCTATTTATTTACTTTTTTTAAAGTGTGGTAGTTTTACCCCAATATTCCTGTTTTGTTCTGTATTGAATGCACAGTGTATTGCTTTGTTAAAAATTATCATTCCAACCAAATTATCAAAGAAGAAACAAATAAATACAGATATTCCATGTTCATAAATAGGATGACTCAGTATTGTCAAGATGTCTGTTCTTCCCAAATTAATCTATAGATTCAACAAAATCCCAAACAAAATCACATCAAGTTATTTGAAAGATATTGACAAACTGATTCTAAAGTGCATATGGAGAGGCAAAAGACTCAGAAGAGCCAACACAATATTGAAGGAGAATAACAGATTTGAAGGACTCATACTGTCCTACTTCAAGACTTACTATACAGTTGCAGTAATCAAGACAGTGTAGTATTGGAGAAAAATATAAGCCAAT